TGGCGTCTCCTTGCCAATTAATTATACCATCGCAGTTGCTTGCAGTCTTGCTAACTTTATCGATTTCAACGGAGTCGACCAAGTGCACCAACAGGTTGGCACAGAAGGTGACGGTCTCAGGGGTTAGTTTTAAAATGATAGAAGACGTAGTTAGCGGCTCCGCACTATTCACTTTCTCCCGGAATCTTAAGGACTAAACGGGGTCTGGCCTAGGCTGTTTTCTCCAGTGCAAACCGAAACACCACTTACTAAGTCTTTAGTGACCGTAGACTGCGCGCGGGTACTACTGCACTGTCTACACCCACTCACATATAGTGGGTAGCCAGACTCTAGGAAGCCAGGGCTAGTACTTCTACTAGAACTACTGCTATTTCTAGTGCTACTAACTAGGGTGCTGCTGAGTGACAGCATTTGCTGTACTATTCCTGACTGTATCGTAAGTCAGAATTGACGCTGATTAAAGTCAGCACTCGGCTCATATCCCCTCAATCTCAGCAAGAAGTGTAGCCGTACTGGTGCTGGCACTGACGCCACAATTTTCAGAGGTGATTGTAGTCCCCTTTAAACACCCATTGTGTATTTATTAACGTCTAAATCAAAAATCCATAACTAGCAGACAAGGGGAGGTTTCAATTTCTACTGTACCTTAAATTATGTCTATTGGCCTATTGTCCTACTCACCATATTCTAAGACTTAGTAACACAACGTTCCATGTCCTAAAGTGGAATATAGTATTAGCATGTATGCATGTATGTAGTAGAATTTTCATGAAATATTCTTGCTTGAGTAGCCAACCTGACTAATATATTTTTTCGGCAATTAACAATCGGGTCGGTAAAACTACATGGATAGTGGTAATTGTACAGTTAAGCAGGCTTTGTAACTGTCTTATCACTTAAACTAATCGTTTCCAAGCTGCTCGCATGGTCAGATCGGCATATAGTGGTCATTGGGCTGGGGAAGTAGGGGAAGTAGACCGGGCTGTTACAATATCTCGTGGGTCGAATACGCGGGGTGAAATTTACTGTGACGTGCACGGAGAAAGCATTTGCACCAGAAGGTTGGGGCTTGCATTAACGCCTTCTGAAAACACAACACTATACTCGCTAGCCGTAAAGATACTGCTTTGGATGTTTCTAGCACCTGCTAGATAGGTCCTTTGAGTAATGAGCTGGTCTCCGGTAGACAACCTGTAAGGTTTCGTTCGGATCGAGTCGGTGATTTGTATCCACAAGATGTGCGAGAATAGAACAGGAGATCGATCTAGTTTCACCTATACCTAGCCAGGCCAGTGTGTGTCACGTACCCTCTTCCTCAGGCCCTCGGTGTTCGCCTAATATATCCTGTTCCACAAAGGAAGCATGTAGAGCAAGTGAAACAGTGAATGCACATATATGTGGACTTCGACGGGTGTGGGCCTTTACCTCGCGTGCCTTATTGCGAAATTTATCTAAAACTAAGTGGGTTTACTGAGAATAGCGGATGGAATCGGAGAAAACGGCTTTGTACGTACCGAGCATGTGCGTGGGGGTAGACTTGGAACATTCAGCCAGCCATACGACAGTCAGACCCGTGTCCTTTTGCCTAGAAGAAAGGCAATTCGCGGGAACTGATGCAATAAGTCCCATGCGACAGAATCTAAATGAGGGTAACACTACTGCACGCTGTTCTTTTTCGAATTGGACTCATTTGTGCCATAAATGCCTGCTTGGCAATGCAAGTGCTCCTATGATGGATATAGCAATGCCTTCATCTTTGACCTCACAGCTATATTGGAGTACATAATGGGAAGCCGATAGAAAAAGGATCATAATAGATTAAAAAAGTTCCGCCCAATACATTCGTGGCTGCTAAGAACCTAGTTACCAACCAAGGCTCAGAGTACAGGCCGAACACCAATGGGGAAGACGACGGCTCGGCAATTTTCACAAAGAAAAAGATGTTGCGGCTTGAGCAGAGTGCAAACAACCTGAAAAACAAACGTTAACGCTTGGTCTTCCTTTTCCTCAATATCATGCGTTTAAATTCCAAAGCTTGGTCCAGAGAGGTTCTTGAAGGTAGTGTTGTGAGGCAGTAAATTACGAAACGTGGTGCAGCCATTTTGACATTGCCAATGAAGCTCGTCTAGGTAGGCTCAATCTTTTTCTTCTCTATTATAGGCACTACAAAGAAGATATTATCATGGTGTTTAAAATCGTCAGGGGAGTAGACTGTGCTCTTCAGATGGCCGTGCACAAACAATACATCTACGCGGTCATCCGTACAAACTGAAGAAACACCATGCCAAACTAGATATGCGAAGCCACTTCTTCTCCCAGCGGGTCATTGAAGAATGGAATAAACTTCCTTCCTCGGTAGTTCTTGCGAAAGCGTCTACGCATTCAGAAAGAAGGCTTGATCTTACTTTGCTTGCTGGTCAAACATTTGGAAGACAACA